TGCATGAGCGTACGGTCTCCAGGAGAGCGCGCGAGCGCTGAATGGTTTAAACACTGTCAAGAATTAAAAAGAAATGTGATTTATAAACTTTAGTGACGATGTGACACTGCCTTTTTTTTTTAGCTTTGTGCAAGTGACAATTCCTGTGTCAACTGTGCAGCGTGTAGCTCGCTTATAGACAGACGTGATGTGTGGGGATTTGAAGCCATTTGCGTATTTTGAGAGAGAGAGAGAGAGCACGCGTGCGCGGTGATTCACTCACGCTGTTTGTGAAATTACGTCTCACACAAGGTTTTCAAATTACTTTATAAGTTATTTAATGAAAAAATATGAAGGGGAGTACCTCACCTTCAGCATTATAATTATTTCACCCGCGCCGGACAGAGACTGAGACGGTGCTGCTGCATGTCGTGCCAAACCTCTCACGGCAGCATCATCAGCTTGAGATCAGTTTTTTGAGATCGGCCTTTTAGAGATCGCCGATCGATCATCCCAACGTGATTATTGGCCGATAGTGATCGGTAGCCAATCAATCGGAGCATCCCTACCTTTATGCCAAACAACATAATGCAGCCAAACTCTGCTCATGCCTCCAAACTGCAAAAACATTGGTGCTTTTTTGCTGAATATAGATACATATATTTCAGATATAACCGATATAATTATTGGACTACGTAGTTAAACGCTTAACTATTAGTTAAACACCCAGCTTTGTTTCAGACAGTAACGAAAATAGCCATATGCTGGTATGGCAATAAAAAAACAAAATAAAACAAAACTACAAATCAAACGATAGTGGTTGCACTTTGCTTGTGTGTAGCCTCAATGTCAGCATATTTGATGAACAGTACCAGATTTATTAATAAAATAGTCTTGGTCTCAGCCCCACAATGATGGATAAGAAGTCCATTGGTTGTGCCGGCTGAGACTATTTATTGAGACAGTCCGTTCACTGACTGTCTGCTTACATACAAACGTGGAAGGCACTTTTTCATCTGGCTGACTCTAATCAGATTGGTTGCTTTGCATGTCAGTCAATCTCTTACTGTCTGTATTTGTGGTTATTGGCCAAAATAAGCTAAAAAAAAAAAAAGTAGACTACTCTTTATGCCAATAATAAAAAAATGTCTTTCAGTGACTATGAATGAAAAATCAACCTTGCTATTTAAATTATGATTCTGAGAAATAGACTTTGAACCATGCAGTTGGCATATGAGTCATATTTCCATTTTAGCCCAGTAAGGGTGGCGTGGTGCGGACTGGAAGCACTTGTGATGTCATCTGTGATCTCACCGAAGCTCCACGCCCACGTTACCTCATTTCCCCTGTTCGCCTCTACTGCTTTTCCCATTGACTCAAGCCCTTTGGTTGTAATTTCTAGTCCCTCAGGGTTTAGAAACCGGGAAGCTTGTGTTTCAAAAGGCACTAAGATTCTCCAGGTCCAATGTTTCTGATCGTTACTGAAGCGATACATCAAGACTAGGCCTAATGGCTCTCAGAGATCTTATGGATTACAGACGAGCAGTTTATTGATTGATGCTGCTTACAACAAAAATGCCTAGACTAATGATGGTGACTTAAAACTAATGATGGTGACTTAAAACATCAGAGCCTTAACACAAACGTGCAGCTCTTTTTGTCGCGTGTGTCATGTGCTTATAGTTTGAGCAGTTGTGGTTGTTTTGAGCGTAGTGTTAATTCTGGCCTTGTGACCTGTACTTTCTAAGGTGTTTTGGCTCTCAATGGCCTGCGACTGATCCATGTGCTCCGAAATGGCTAGAGATACTTGTGTTTTCTAAACACATGGCTTGGCCTAATCCAATCAGTATTGAAGTACTCTTGTCCGCTGGTTTAGCAACAAGCTTATAATCAGTAGGCCGTTGTGATTTACCCAGTTTGGCTGCTTCATTCTGGCCTGGCACGTACAACACTCATGAATGTTCATTCAGTATTCACTTTTGCCTTTTTAAACAACAACTTAGTCATTTGGTGACAGATGTAAAATGACTGATAAGAGCCGTAGCAAGAACATTTTGCGTTGTTCTTGTGTCGTGGTGTATGAGTAACTGATAAAACCCGCTCAACAGTAATTTTAATGTGTGCTGGTTGGCTTACCCGTGCCCTGCCTTAAGATAACCCAGCCGGGTGTGGTAGCAGTGCAGTGCTTGAATGATAATGTCATCGTATGTGTGTTTTGTTTGTTTTTAGCCACATCTCCCAATGCATCTTCAGAGTTGGAGCAAGCCAGACCTCAGACGAGTGGAGAAGAGGAGCTACAGTTGCAACTGGCTCTTGCCATGAGCCGAGAGGCCGCCGAGCAGGTACATCATGTCACTCAACGCCACCCTAAAATGCTGACACATCTACAGCTAATTATATGATTTATTATTGTGATGCTTAATGTACGTTTATGAGAAGGATTTTGGATCAATGAGTTCTAATGTTGGGCAGGGCTACCTAGAAGCACAGATGTACATTAAAGGATCAGCTCACTCCAGAATTAAAATTTCCTGATAATTTACTCACCCCCATGTCATCCAAGAGGTTCATGTTTTTCTTTCTTCAGTCGAAAAGAAATTAAGGTTTTTGAGGAAAACATTCCAGGATTTTTCTCCATAAAGTGGACTTCAACAGGGACCAAGGGGTTGAAGGTCCAAATTGTGGTTTAAATGCAGCTTCAAAGGGCTCTACACGATCCCAGAGTCAACAAGGGTCTTATCTAGTGAAACGGTTGGTCATTTTCTAAAAAAAAAAAAATGTATGCACTTTAACCACAAATGCTCCTGTTGAACTAGCTCTGTGATGTGCATTCATGACCTCACACATTACGTAATCATGTTGGAAAGGCCATGTTTTTTTCCTAGCGAAATACATTTTTTAGGTTTTAAAAGATTTAAACTTCCAGGATGCGCATATTTTAAACAGTAGACTGATACAAACACATAAATATGTGTCATTCAACATAAAAAAAACTTTTGAACGGTCCTCCTCCTCCACACTTTTAAGCATTGGGTCGGTACTTCCGCCTACGTCACGCGTGATCTTTCCAATTAGAGATGCACCGATTGCAATTTTCTTGGCCGATTCCGATTTTTTGGAAGTGTGACCTGCCGATACTGATTTTTACCGATTCCGATTTTCTTTCTAAAAACTATCATTGACAGCATATACAAACAAAAATCTATGCAAATTTCAATGCAAATTAAAAAAATTATTTACATTAAAAAAATTATTAAACATTACAATTCCCCCAATCTGGACTAAGTTACAGATTTTCTCTCACTTAAACAACTCTCAAAATAAAGTGCTCTGTGACTGGAAAGAGAAAGAAATAGTTAACTTAAAATGAGTTGCTGTATGTAACAAAACAGATATCATTTCCCACTATGTTTATAAATGGTCACTGTTTTCCCCTAACCTTATTAAATGTGTCATCTTTCACATCAAATTCTTACTTTGTTTCAATTAATTCAGTTAGAATAATAAGAAACTGTAGAGTTGTTACCATTCAAATGAAATTAGTATTAACAAACTCTATCTTTCCACTGC